CGTATTTGCCATAATGTTCTGTGGTCATCCGCATGATTGTTCAGGTGATAACTTCTTCAAGCCTGCAACATACACAATCGAGGCGATTTGCGCAAAATCATATGAAGAGACAACAGAGAAGCTTAAAGAAATCGAAGCTCAAATTTTAAGAAAGAGAAATGATTTGCGCCAATTCGAAAGTGAATATAGGAAGGTATTGGCTCTGTAGATATGGCTATTAATTTTTTCTGATATGTTTGTCTGAAAGTTAACTTCTTACTTTGTAGGCACTTGCACGCTTTCAAGAAGTCACAAATCGATACAGCCAGGAAAAACAATTTGTATGCAATACTCAATCTGATGCTCCGTAGTCGTCTTTCTTCTTTCGAATTTCAAATAGAACTGATGCAACTTATTTCTAATTCGCACGACACATGTTTATTGTAATTTCCTCCATTGCAGGTCGATGAGCTTCTAAAAATGAGAGATAATATCCACTCATCTTTCACCGTTTCCAGGCCAGCAAACCATAACGATAATGTCAGTGGCTTAAGTAATGGAAAAGTTGATGATTCAAAAGTTTGCACTCCTGGAGAAGATGGTGGCTCAGATGGAAAGGACAGACCTACCAAGAAGAAGTGGTTCAATCTTAACCTCAAAGGGTCAGACAAAAAGCTTGGTTGAGATTCAATGCCTGCTTCTCGCTGGGAAGTCTCAGCGTGCAAGGTTGCGCCCATCAAGCTGCTTCGTTTCTTGTGAGTTTTCTGATAATACTGTTTACTATATCTATGATATGGGTTTTCGAAGCAAAGCTATAATATAAGAAATGTGTAGCATGCCATTGTGTTTATGATTATATTGAGTGACTTGCTCAGTTGTTAGAATTTTTCTGGTGGGGATATAGATAGGTTTCGTTAGAGTTAATAAATTCGTTTATTCGGTTTGTGAAGAAAACTCGAGTGTATAATTTTCATTCATTTGAATCCGAGCATGTTATCCACTGGTTGTTGCTTGCTTGACTTCTCTTTAATATTTTGTGTTGCTGTTGGGAGATTCTCCTGCTAAGTTGATTAGCTTTAGAGTGATTGGGTTTAACAGCAAAAGTACAAAATTTAGCTGTCCATATCTTGCAATTATCATACCAAAATAGGCCACTTTTGGTGGGTCTTATATTTGTAGGACTTGGTAGGGTACCCTAAACAGAATTATCAGACAATCATGTAGGTTGAAGATGTGTTTATCAACTGGGACACACGTGCAACAGTTGAGTTGTTCCAATAATTGGAGCTGGAAAATTGTCTGAATCTGAGCAAACCCTGGTTGAGTTGTTATCATTTCTCGTGTACTTAGGACTTGAGGATACTCACTATTTAAAGGTCTTTGACTGACGGTTGCTGATATGGTTTAGAATGATTGATTGAGGACCTTAAAACGCGTCTGCTAGGAAGAGGTTTTCACGCCCATATAAAAAATGCTTCATTCCCTTTCCAATCAATGTGAGATCTTGCCGTGAAATTGATTCGAATTTATAATGATCTTGAGATTACTAACGCTCAAATCTCTTGAGGTTGATTCATGGGCAACTGTTATTAGCATCTTACAAGAAGAGAGCACGTGCTATGAGTCGAGATTTCTATCAAAGGATCGAACTTGTTGAGGTACGTTCCATATAACTTAACATATCTTGCTTTCAACAAAAGCACATTAGAAGTGTTTCTAGGAATGTGTGCAGCAATGGGCATGTAAAGAAGTGTAGGATTAGAGAGCACTTTTAAGTTATTAAGATTGGTTGAAATTAGATTAGTGTAGGATTATTAAACAATATATAGCATATTACATAGAGGTTAGAGGCTAAAGTCCACTGAAGCTTTTAAAATTAATAACAAAAGAAGAAAGAGTGGGAGTTGGCAGGCATGGAGGGGCTGAAATGAGTCACCCACATCCTTTGGATATTGGCTACTCTTTGCTTTTGAACATATCCACAAAAATTGTCCTTTTTAGACCCTTCCAAAAGCCATGGTTTTCAAAAGGAAACCAGGTAAAGATGATTAGCAAGTTAATGGGGGTGTGATTTTGATTAATCTATGAACCTAAATTAGGATTTATTATTGTTTTAGTTGAAATTATACTGATTGATTGGATAAATTTCATTGATAACCACAACATGGTGGGTCATGCTTGTGATTTGGGAGATCTTAAGTGATAATAATGGCATCTTAATCACAACAAAGCAAACCAAAAGAAGAAAAGTATGATGATTAAGGTTGTCTTAAGAAAATACCCGACTATGCTTTCAACAGGGATTCTCTTGAATATCCTATTGCTCTTTGTTAACGGGTTGTTGGCCGTGGTCTTTCTTTTCTAACTAAAGGGTTTCGTGTAGCTTTTTTGACTGAGGTCCAAAGTGACTCACAATGTTAGTTCTCGATTGAGTTGGGATAGACGTATGTGTGTTGGTTTGATGGGAAATTTTGGCACAGAAAAGGGGACAAAAGTGGGTCATAGGTTGAAGTGTTATGATGATGAGGAGTTTGGAAGAGGTTTTGAAGTAACCAAATCATCCCTCTCTCTGCCAAACATAAATCAATGTATGGTAGTTAGTAAGATTCGGAGAGATCTGTGTCCTCTTAAAGTAAACAAAAGCATTTAGGCCTTTCAACATTAATTATAGGTTTTAACGTCAATCACGCCAACATCTTATCTACAATAATTCATTCAAAAACATATACCCTCACTACACACAAACAAACCCTTGTTCCCGTCTTGTCCCGATATTAGCTAAGAACAAAGAAAAACTACTCTACGGGACCATCATCATGTGACTATCTTGAACCGTGCAGCCTGTCAGTATGATAGGATAGTTTAGAATTTTTTTTCCCTTCAGTACAACAAGTTACGAGTGCGAGAGATTTGAACCTCTAACATTAAAAAGATGAGTGCAACTAATCAAATAAATTAGTTGAATGTGCTTTATGGTTTAGTGGACTATATTTGTAAGATCAGAGGGAAACAAAATATTTCTTGTAAGAGTGTAAAAACCCCTCGTGTTTTAAAATTGTGAGACTACTGACAATATGTCACGAGTCAAAGCGAACAATATTTACTAGGGGTGGGATTAGCGGAGCCGGACATTGGGCAGTGTGTCAGCGAGGACGTTGGGCTCCAAGGAGGGTGAATTGTGAGATCCCACATCGAAACATTCTTTATGACGGTGTGGAAACCTCTCCCTACTAGATGCATTCGTGAGACTGACGGTGATACACTAAAGCCGGACAATATCTAACCCAGGCCTCTACAAAGAAGGTTGGTGAGGAACATTTATTTAATTATAAATAGCATAATATAGGGAGGATTTGGTAAGAAATCATATGTTATATTGTTTATTTTGGTCATAATATAATTATAATGTCTTATAAAACAAGTAATGTGGAAAGTAAGTGCAGTACAGAAATAATTAATTGAAATTACCAAAATGGAACATAAATAAGAGGAAGCAAACAAGGGGTTGGATGTCTTTTTGAGTGATGGGTGATGGGTTAGGTTGACTAATTGGCTGCTTTAATTAATTAATCTATTAATTAATTAATTAATTAATATAAGTTGTGGACGAAACTGAATAATTAGTGTTGTATTGGACTATATGCTTCGCTTAATTTAAATAATCACTGCATAATAAAAGTGGGGAAATATTAATGAAGCTGGCTCTTAGATGCCTACAGTGGAACTAATTAATTAATTTATTTATTTAATTAAACTAATAATTCAATCATACATATTTATGAAATTTTTAATCCTAAGTTTCACATGCATTCTTGGACACACATTCCATGTATACATTACTATAATACGACAGACATTTTAATTTTAAATTTACAAAATTTAAGATTACTTTAATTTGTTTGTACAAGTCTTTGAATAATAATTAGTCACGGTTAATTTGTTTATAAGATTCGGCCGATTTAGTTTGGCTCTCATAGTTTAATCAAATCTAAGGGGACGAGGAAGATTTCTCTGTGCTCATTCCGATTCCTCTTTCAATCTTCATTTATGAAGAAAAAAAATATATTATTTATTTTTTTGTGAGATCCTACGTTGATGGAAGAGGGGAACGAAATATTGCTTATAACAGTGTGGAAACCTCTCCCTAATATACGTTTTGAAACTGTGAGGCTGACAATGATACGTAACGGGCCAAAGTGCACCAAACCACCGCTAGCAAACATTGTCCACTTTTACCCGTAACATATCGTCGTCAGTCTCATGGTTTTAAATCTCTTCCCGCTCCTTTCTCATTCTCTATGGAGATGCTCCACCCCATTTGATACAAGTCTGTAACAACTCAAGCTTACCGCTATTTGATATTATCCTCACGGTCTAAAACGTATCTATTAGGGAGAGGTTTCAACACCTTTATAAGGAATGTTTTGTTCCCGTCTCTAATCGATGTGAAATCTCACAATCCACTCCATTGGTGGTCTAGTGTTCTCGCTGACACACTCTTCAGTGTCTAGCTCTGATACCATTTATAATAGCTCAAACTTATTGTTAGGCCCAACGTTCTCGTTGGCACACTATCTAGTGTCTGACTCTGATACTATTTGCAATAGCTCAATCTCATTGCTAGTACATATTATCCGTTTTGGCCTATTACGTATCGCCATCAGTCTCACGGTTTTAAAACGTTTCTCTCCAATCGATATGTGATCTCACGTAATGTTTGCGGGTCCAACAAGTATGAGAAGAAGATAGAAAATGTGAAAATATGATGAATGTGAGAATGTTTTGATGGTGTTGTGAAAAGGGGTATTGAAAGGTTAGATTACATGAGAAGGAGAGAAAATAAAGAGGTGAGAGAGTCGGCGATGTTATGTATGAGACAAAGTGCTGTCCTTGCAACTCCCATGTGTTTTACTTTCTTTCTTTGTCCATTTCCTTTCTTGCTTTTTATATCATAAAATTTGCACCAATCTTACCTTTTCTTTGCCTTCTACTCATCAATTCCAAGTTACCCCTCCATTTCTGTCCTTTATAAATGAACCCTCCATGCATTCCAAGTCCTTACACATTGTAATAGCCCCTTTTTTCTCTCTCTCTCTCTCTCTCTGTCTAGAGCTCTGTTTCTTGCCAAAAATGGCTGGCTTGGAATTGGACATCCAATCCAAACCAAACCACACCACTCCCACAACCACCCGCTTAAAATTAAAGCTGTTTGGCTTTGATGTGCGCGAGGAATTGGAAGATGATGACTCTACTACTGCCAAGACCCCAACTGGGTCATCCGAATCTGGAGTATTCACCCCTTCCACCGACCGCAAATACGAGTGCCAATACTGTTGCCGCGAGTTCGCTAACTCACAGGCTCTCGGTGGCCACCAAAACGCCCACAAGAAAGAAAGGCAGCAACTTAAACGTGCCCAATTACAAGCCACACGGAACGCCGCCGTTGCCTACGTTAGAAACCCAATTATCTCCGCCTTTGCTCCGCCACCTCACCTTCTCGCCACCGCCCCTCCCCACTTCCTACTCTCCAACCCTGCCTCCGCACCCGAAACCTCCTCCTGGGTCTACATGCCCCGCACGCCACCGCCCATCCAGATGTCGTCACATGGGTGTGCCTTTCCGGCCTCGGGCGGTGCAGGGAAAGCCGCGATGGTGTCATCCTACGGCCGCGGAGTGGGGAATTCCATGGCATTCGCGATGGGATCACAAATCCACGACGAGGGGATATCGTTGAAGAGATTCACCAAAGGGGAAAACGGGTCGGGTTTCGATGACGGAATTGGTTTGGATTTGCATCTGAGATTGGCTCCGGCGGCGCCGTGAAAAGCGCTGATCTCGAAACTCCGATGATTTGTATTCGTACGTTTTTTTGTGTCTGCAAATTTTTCAAAAACCCTTGTTGGGAATCATGTAAATTCTTCCTCTTTTTATTTTATTTATTTATTTTTATTATTATCAGATTATCTCTTTCGAAAAAAACACATTTATTCCTCCCTCCGATGCCAAACACCGATGATCAATTTCATACCGACAACCACTTTTTAATTATTATTTTTTAAAATTATTGTTTTATTTGTCGTAGAAATTATTTGAATGCCCTGAAAAACGTGGTTGACAATTCTAACCTCGTGAATGTATATTAAAGAGAGTTTAAATTTTCAGTGATGAACAACTTATTTACTATAAATAATTAAAATAGAAACAAAATTATTGAATTATGTATGGCCCATCATAATGTATATAATTTAACATATATTAAAGGGGTACAAGATTTTAGTGGCTATAAATTGAATAACGAAATTATTTTTAATTACACCGAAAGGGATAACGAAACCAGATAGGTACGTCTAAAAGCATTCTAGAAACACTAAATGTTATATTTTATATTTTATATATTGTGTGTTTTGGGGATTAAACATATTAACTAAGTTTTAAACCCATAAAAATGGCATTAGTCATGTCATGTGTCGTGAAATCATTTAGTTAATGTTGTAAAGTAATGAAAGTTATAAAGAAGAGGAAATGTGTGAGTGATATAGTGTATGAACAAAGCAAAAAAAGCAAGGCAAATCTTTCGGTGTGTCCGATAATTAAGCTCATTGTTCAATCATTAGTTTACAAGGTTGGCTTCCAGCCAAAGAATAAGATGGGTCTTTTCTCGGTGTTTGCTGAGACAGAAATGACAACTTTAAATGTGAACAAGTATTAAGCCACCAAAAGCTCGTTGGAAGATGAAAATCCCATATCGGCTAATTTAGGGAATGGTCATAGACTTATAATCGAAGAATACTCTCCATTGGTTTGAGGTCTTTTGGGAAGCCCAAATCAAAGCCATGAGAGCTTATGCTCAAAGTGGACAATATCATATCATTGTGGAGAGTCGTGTTCTTCTAACATGGTATCAGAGCTATGCCCTAAACTTAGTCGTGCCAATAGATTGGTAAATCGTCAAATGTCGAACAAAGGACTCCAAAAGAAAAGGAGTCAAACCTCCTCGAAGGCATAGTAAAAAATGACTAAAACTCCAAAGGAGTCGAGGCTCGATTAAGGGGAGACGTACTTTGTTCGAGGGGAGGTGTTGGATGATGAAAGTCCCACATCGGCTAATTTAGGGAATGATCGTGGGTTTATAATCAAAGAATACTCTCTCCATTGATATGAGACATTTTGGGGAAACTCAAAGCAAAGCTATGAGAGCTTATACTTAAAGTGGACAATATCATACTATTGTGGAGAGTCGTGTTCATCTAACAAGCCATAGATATCAGTCGTACACAATTTAGACTTAAAAAAAAAAAGACAAACCCAATCAATGCCAACAATGTCCAAGAATCGATACTCGTCTAGGTCTGTTAGGAATCACGAACCTCTATAATAACATGATATTGTCCACTTTGAGTTTAAGCTCCCATAAGTAATTAGTTCAAGTTTATGGTGGGTTGTTGTGTGAAAAAAGGGATAGAAAATTATGAAGACATGTGAGGTTTGAAAGCTGTTGCACACTCTTGACACTCAGAATGATCCCTCTCGGCCTCCTTCTAGAGCTTTATTGACATTTTATGAGCACTCTTTTTCAACTCATGGTGATTATGATTGGTGGGTCACAAAAAGGGTTTGAACATTATTATAATCTCTTAACCAAAACCAAACACAGGGTTCAAACTTTTCTTGTCACTCCAAAGTCAACATTGCCCAACCAATTACAATTACAAGAACAATTACCTTTAGCTTCCCCACATCTTGATCCAAAATGTTTTAGGGTTTGGTTCAACAAAAACGCATCTTTTAAATCTAACAATCTTGTCTTTATTGTGGGTTGAACAAAAGTTGTGTCAACAGAGAATCTTTTGATCACACAAGAATCTGATCTCAATTCATTATAAAATTGTTTGTTGAATAATGATTGGAGAATATGAAACAATGGAGTGGGAATTTTGTTGTTGTCATTTGAAAATGGTGGTGTCGTGCTTCAAATGGAAAGAAACCCAACAAACTGTAGAAGCTTCATTGATGGGAGAATAAAGGTGTTGTTAAGAGGCCCATAATTGTGGACCCTATATCACTGCCTTGGGTTTGAGGATGACTCCAAAGCTGGGGTTTAATTCTTATTAATTCTGTTCGACTTTGGGAACAGATGTGCATATCCAACAAAGACTTGACAACATATAATGTAATCATTTAATTATATATACAACTTTCCACTACTCAACCTTCAAAAATTTAGGCTTTGGTATGAATTTGGTCCAAGTGGTGTTTATGAGTGAAAATGTGATCGAAATTCCATGTTAGTTGTGTAGGAAGAAAATCGTGAAGGTATATAAATGAGATACAGTACTTCTATTAGTGTAAAGTAGACAATATCATATTATTGTAGAGATGAATGAATTATCGAGAGAGTTGAAAACAAAGCACCCTTGTTGTAGTCATACAATATTTCTACGAGAAAGAAAAGTGAAAGCGAAGGGAATCAAGTAAAGCTTCCCTGGGTGACCCACAAGTTTCAACAATGGCACTAAAATCAGTGTATCTTGCAAATGAAAATGTAACGATAATTTCTTCTCAAGGTTTTTAAACGCGTCTGCTAGAGAGAGATTTCTACACTCTTATAGATATTGTCTTTTTTAGATTTTCTTTTTTGAGCTTCTTCTCAAGGCTCTTATAAAGAACATTTCGTTTCCCCTCTCCAACCGAGGTGGGATCTCACAATATCATTTCCTACTTATTTACCGACAATTCATAAGGGACTTTCTTTAGAACACAAGGCATGAATCTCAATTTCATCGACTATTATGATTGCAGCCTTTGATCACTTCAACGTCCACTTCTAAATAAGTTTAAAGCAGGGCTGTTGAAGTATTGATATAATTAAATCGAAGATGTTCATGATAAGCATCTCGACGCTATCTCTTCGGATCCAACTATTGCAACCAGTTGAAGCAAGTATATGCAAAGGGTTTAGGTTTTAGAGAGAGCAGATCCTCTGAAGTTGGTGGACATTTATTCATCACTCTCATCTAATCTACTAATATAGCCAAAATATTTGAGCTCAAAATTGCAAAGCCCATGAACATCTTCCTGTAATAAGGTAATTTGGGCTGAGAATTGCAAAGCCCACGAACATCTTCAAGATGGATGATATGTGTTTAATATTTATACTTTAAAAAAAAAAAAAGTTAATAATAGGTAGTTTAGGCTCAAGGACTTTGTAGATTTATCATTTATTGAACTATTTAAATAAATAAAACAATTACTATTATTTTTAAATATAGAAAAGGATTGAAAACTTAGGGTCAAAGCTGTAATTTAATTAAAATAAGATAATTGGGACAGCCCCAAAAGCAAAACGACGTCATATGGAGCCTTGAAATCTTCAATAGGAGGCGCATGATAGAGGCATGGGCGCATTTTAGTAGCATCCACAGAAACCAAAAAACGTGTAACAAATTAAAATTAAATTTTTTTGAAGGGGAAAAAAGAAAATAAAAGCGAAGCCCTGAAACCAAAATTAAAAGGGGCACCCCTCAAACCAGGACTCTCTTTTTGTGTATAATCTGGCGTTTTCCGGCGGTATTTCGTTTGCACAAACCCAACTAATATGAACAATTTCACCAACCAATGGACCCTCAAAAATCTCTCTCACTTTTCCTTATTTTCTCTCCGATTGTTGTTTTAGACGGACCGATCTGATCTCCGCCTCTCAATTCTCTGTCGGCCAGGTTATGGTTTGTGCCGATTCCGAACGAACACCACTAGACTCCATGGCGATGGGACTCGAGAGATCGAAACCGCTTCATAATTTCTCCCTTTCCTTCTTGAAGTGGGGAAATCAGAGGTATCTCCGCTGTATGAAATTGGACTCCGATGGCCCTGACGCCGACGCCGACGCCGACCTTCCTCCGCCCTCTGTTCGCCCTACGCCCGCCGTCCGGTTGAACTGCCGGAAGTTTCACACGGATAGGCCGGCGTTGTTTAAGGATTCCGCAAAGAGACTAAGGGCTTCTAAGTCCAAGATCCACGATAATTACGATGGCGAGGAAGATATAGCGGCGGTAAGAGAGAAACTCATGGTTGATCTAAAAACCGCCGCCGACAGAATGAAGGTTGAATTCTGGAGAGATGGAGTGGTCGACGATGACGATGACGACGACGATGAGGAAGACATGCCCAACCGGGAGAAAAAAATTTCGGCGCCGGCGCCGGCGCCGGAGAAGGAGTTAAAATCGTGGAGTTTGAGGGTGAGGAGGGCGGCGTCGAAGGCTCCGATCGATACAATTGCCGAGGGCAAGGGCGGTGGTAAAGTGTTGAAGATCGAAAAGCGGGCGGAGAAAAGGGCGATTCGAAATTCGCCGTTGAGAAGCGGTGACGGCGGTAGCGAGAAGTCCCCAGGGCGGCGACTGGCGACGGAGAAGAAGGAAAGGGAGAAATTCTCGGTAGCACTTTCCAAAAAGGAGATCGAGGAGGATTTCATGGCTATGATGGAACGCAGGCCGCCGCGAAGGCCCAAAAAGAGGCCCAGAATTGTACAAAATCAAATTGATGTAGGGTTCTTCTTCCGTTTCTTCGTTTTTTCTCTTTTCTATCTTCTCCGAAATTGGATTCTCAACTCCTTCCCCCTCTCCATTGCAGACGCTTTCCCCCGGATTATGGTTGACGGAGATCACCGCCGATCTCTACGACGTGCCGGAAATCCAAGAAAACGGAAAGGTAATTCCGCCCTATTTTTGTTTCTCTGGATTTAAAATCTAAATCTGATCAAACCAATCCTCTCAAGATTTGGTCTGAAACCAAAAATCAAATTGAAATTGATGCTTCCTATGATCGGAATCTTGTGTGGCTGAAACTCATCACACATTTGTACGAATCGATTGTGCAGAGGTAGTAACGGAATGTAATCGAGGAGGAGCCTTAGAAGTTAGAGCACCGAGCACCGAGCAGCAACCTGCGACGACGCTGATATGCTAATCCATGGAAGACGACGTACGACCGACCTCCATCTTCTGGAATCGAGAATTAATTGCACATTGATTTCCAGTAGATTTGTGAGAACGCTAATTCTTGTGTATTAATTATAATTTCATTTGATTATTGTGTGTTTTGGTGAATAAAGAATAATGTCTTTAAGCATAAATTTGTTTTTTAGATCCAAATTCAATGATTTTATTTATTTTGTTGGGTTCAACAAAGTGCAGCGCCGTTGTTTAATGCATACATGTTATATTTTGGTTAATGGGTTCCGTCGCGTTTTGGCCTTACCTTCTTTGATACACAACTTTACACGTCGACTAATTCCACCCTATTTTGATTACCTACCAACTTTAACAAATATTATTTTTTTGGGCTTTTTTCGTTTTCTCTTTGAGATTTTAAAATGTAAAAATATATTTAATTCACAATTCAGGGTCGGATAAAAATAAAGGATTAAAAAATTGTAATAAGGGAAATGTTTGTAATGAAATGAAAAGGGAAATTTTTTACAAAGTGTGATTTGAAGTTGGATGGTTTAGGGGGCCCAAAATGTAAGTCCAGCCCATTTGGCAATATCATTGAACACTCGGTGTCCCATAACAACAGTCCTCTCCATCAGTTGTCTGCCCCATGGTTACGCTACCAGATATTATCATTCTTTTACTTTCCCTCGACCTTTTAAAACATGTCTATTAGAAAGAAGTTTCCCCACCCTTATAATAAATGTCTTGTTCTCCTTTCCAACTGATATGGGAGTCTAGCATTCTCAGTGTTTGGTTCTAATATTATTTATAACAGTCAAAGCTCACCCTTAACAGATATTATCCTCTTTAAGCTTTCCCTTATCGATAAAAGAAGAGAATGAAGCATGTGTAAACTTCTCCCTTTTAAAACGTTGAGCCCAGAAGGAAAAACTTAAAGAGTACAATATCTACTAGCGGTGGTCTTGAACGGTTACATAAGTATAGTTGTTAATGAGCCCTGCAAGACACCGTCCTTTCTCTTCAGCTTCGTCACACCGTCCTCTCTCTTCAGCTTCATGTATGCAGTCCCCTTGAGAGATTGGAATCAGAAAAATGTTAGAACCAGGGGGGGAAGAAGGGTCAGAGAAATCAGAAGAGACTAGCGTGGATTCCAAAAGGATCCATTCATATGCGAAATCAATAAACCATTTGTGGATTTGGTTGATTCTAATTTTGAATATACGCCAACTTTGAGCTTTCTTTTAAACAAGGAAAATTGTACTATATCTTAATCTTAATCTTAATCTTAGCTTAGAAGGTAAATAATTAGGTGTGACTCCTACTGTTTTTTGTCCAATTTCATAATTTTAATCCGAAAAATCAGGAAGCGAGTTATCTAAACTTGTAGTTTATAAAAATAAATAAATTAAAGATGTTCCTACTTATTTGACTTACGTGTAAACGAACTGATATGAATTAAGGACGCCGCTTATTTGCCCACTTAACAAATTGGGAGCTTTACATAACTGATGTGACTATTTTTGTGGTTGCCAAACGCCAACCAATAATATTATATTATATTTTTTTTGTAAATAAAAATGTGTTAATGATTAGGGATATGACCTTACACGACCACGAATTTTCACTTTTATGTTCTTATCTTTTGGGACACTCGTGTTCATCAAACCCCCGCCCAAATGATTGCTTTCATTAATTAATTATTCCATTAATTGTCAAATATGCAAATGGTTTAAAGTTCAAATTTTCAAAATTAGATTTTGGGTGCACGTTGACCTTCATAATTCTCCAAAATTGTTCAAACAATCACATTTTACGCGCATTCAATTCAAAATAAACTCAATCCACGTGTTTTGTTTCATCCCATAAGAATTTTAAAAATGGTCGATTTTAACCCACGAGTAAAATGAGAGGCAAATTTCGCTCGACCATCCCATGACTTGCATTTAAAAAACACAAAAATACATATGTTCAAATCTTCCTTTTTTTTTATTTTTTTTATTTAAAGATAAATTAATTTGTATAAAGTTATAAGATTTTATAAAATATAAAATATATATTTAATTAGCGAAAATTCTAAAATAGCGAATAAAAAGATCATGTTGCCAGCAGTGACCGGCAGTGTCATGTCAGCATACTAATCCGACAATGTGGGTTCCGAACGGGAGGAGAACCAATGGATCATTCATGTTGCCACGTGTCAAGAGGCAAGCGAAAATCTTCCCCAGATGACCGAATATTATAAATTTGATTCCCTTCAATCCTATGCCACCTAAGCCCTTTCACCCTTTGTCTGCCCTCTCCAAAATTCTTAATCCACCACAAATAAAGAATATATATTTTCTATTTCTTTGCTCTTTTTTGCCGACGTGGATCCCTCTCATGCTCCCAAACAGCCAATGTCTATCTTGCACGTCACTCTTTCATTTATTTTTTTAATATCTTTTTTTTCCTCTCATCCTCTGCTTTTTCGCCCTTAAAAACTCCTCCCCTCCTTCATTTCCGACCCTCTCTCGCCTTCGCCGTTTTTATTTTCCACCAAACCCTAAATTGAAATCTCTCCACTCTTTCAATTTTGTTCATCCGAATATTCCCATCCCAATTCCGATTCCAATTTTTTATTCCCATCTCTTGATTTTGGTTTTTCGCTTCCTTAAATCTGTGGTTGCTTCTCTCTGTTCTACCCATTACCGAGGTTAAGATATGGAGATTCCGGTGATTAACAGGTTTAGTGGTCTGGAATCGGGGATTAGTTCCTTGCCGAATCCCACTCTCTTGCCCCAGATTTTGGCTTCCCCATCTGGACTACAAACCCTTTCTCAATCCCTAAATCTCTGGAAATGGAGCGCTGTGATTATCGCTGTTGTTGCTACGTTTAGCGGCGTAATTAATCGGATTAAGCTTTTGTTTGTGATTTTCCGACGGAAACAACGTGTTTTGCAGGAGACTTTTGCTGATTCTGACTCCGATGATGAGTTCTCTATCGACGACTCTGCGAGCTCTGTTTCGTCGTCTTGGTCGGAGTTTGAAGAAGACGACGCCGATGAGCCCGCCTCCTCGTCTTCCCGGTGTTTGGACTTGACTGACCGGGATTTTGGCGTTAGAGGCTCCGATTATTACTTGAACGATCTTAAAATGAAACCGACTCTGAAACTTCGGCATCGGCGGAGCTTCCACAACCAAGACGGAGACGGCAACCATTTCTCGTGGGCCGATGTCAGCGGAGGTGGAAGCGTTGTGAAATTATGGGACAATCTCAGATTTGAATTCGACCGCCATCACTCCGACAAGAATGAAATCCGCGTCTACGACGTAATCAAAGAGCAGCAAATCGGGTCCATTCTAGCCGGCGAATCGCAAATAGCCTCGTCGTTAACGTCGACGTTACTGTTATCAGCGGCGGCGAATGTTTCCAGTACAACATCGGTGAATCTGTGGGACACGCGCGTGGGTTCTAAAATCCCGGCGCTAATCGCCGAGTGGAAGCCGGTGGCCGGTAAGATCTTGGGGGTCAAATTCGCCGGCGTCGAAAAGGTGTATATTAGAGAGGAAGACGCAGGGAAAATAAGGGTCGGTGACGTGAGAAACATGAAATCCCCGATAGAAAATTTAACGGCGGCTGACGTGAAGACTTGGTTCGACACAGACGCGGTGATGGTTTCAGCGGAATAGAAGAGAAAAAACCGAGTCAGCAGCTGAGTTGGTGACTCGGGTTAGTTAGACAACAGCTGTTCTCGATTCTACCTTAATCATTAATGGCTGAATCAGCCACAGCCTCAAAAAAAAAAAAGGACGAAGACGAGACTGTAAATAATTTTTATTTATATATTTAAGCCCAATAATTATAATAAATCCATATTATATATTATATGTTTCTTCTCCGACATCTACACCTGGTTAAACTAATGGGATTGGGAAAACAAATTAAAAAAAAGAATAAAAAATGATTTTTTTTTTTTAAATTGTATTTATTAGCCATACCCATTAGTACTTGGGATAAGTTAACACAGGAATGAATAAAATAAGAGGATTAAATATTTTTAAAAGGCTAATTTAATAATGGTTATATGGGATAGAGATTGATTGGGAGTGGGAGTGGGTTACTGTGGAAAAAGGGAGAGGGGCGGAAGGAGATGTGATGATGCGGTTCTTGGAGTTTTGATCGAAAGTTATATCATATTATTACGAAGAGTTGTGTTCGTCTAACATAGATTTGATAATTAAGTAAGAAAAGGTAGATTGGTGGTGGGGGACGGGACAATAAATGACTCATTTGCGTCTAATCATACCCAACCCCAACTTCTGATGTTTCTACCATCACCACCAAATTCACATAGAGCTTAATTATGTTTATGCCTAATTAGTCCGTCATTAAGTATGAAATCAACTGCACCGTCACGACATCACATCAATTAATAAATGGTTAATTGTAGATAGAGATAGAAAAGTTCATTTCATTTATATAATAAACCATCAATTTTAGCTCGCTGGAAAAATCAACACATCAATTTCAATCTGTCATTCCACTCTACACTCCGAAAAATCAACACAATAGGGTATTGTCCATTGAGGCCCCACTAAGCAAATGGAACATTATTGGGAATTTTTGGTAGCTACCCCTTTAGTTTTAGAATTCATCAATTCTGCCCCAACTGTCAAATTTCTTTCCAAAAATAATAAAAACATAAATATTTCACATTTAAAGTATAAAGTAAATTATAAAATTAATTCCTAAAACTACCGACATAAATAGTTCAACTGATATCCTTGGGCCGGAAACAATCGGGTATCTGAATTCTGGTCCGAATGGCCTATCTGGTTTGTCGGAATTGGGTTCGGTTACAAACTGCATGTGGGCCGACTAAAAAAAACTGTCCAAGTGAAAAAGGAGGCCCATTAGGCCCGCATCGTTAAATTGAGAAAAAGGAGAAAAGGGGAACAGAACCACAATTGTAAATACCGACTCCCAGTTTATCCATGGCTGCTCTTCTTTCCTTATCTTCAAGTTCCCTGACCAGAACAGCCATTGCTCTGCCTCATCCAACCACTCCCTTCAAGGTAATTTAAATTCCAGACGTTATCTCATTTCAATTTTCTTGCACGTTGATTCTTTTATCATTTACGGAACTCTGATTCACATACATTTCCAGGGAAATGTGAAGATTCTGAATTCAAAGCAGTTCAGCTTTTCTCCACTCAAGCTCAAATTCAAGGTGGGAGATGGAAAACCATTGGTTGTTCGCAGCCAGGCCGCTGCGTCTTCCTTGTCTGCCTCCCCCGTCGAGAGTGTGCGGTTCCGTCTGGACAATCTTGGACCACAGCAAGGTTCGAGGAAGAAGGGCAAGAGAAAGGGGAGAGGTATATCGGCGGGACAGGGTGGTAGCTGTGGATTTGGAATGAGAGGACAGAAATCAAGGTCTGGGCCTGGTGTAAGAAAAGGATTCGAAGGTGGACAGATGCCTCTTTATCGGAGAATTCCCAAACTTAGAGGAATTGCAGGAGGTAATTTCTATCATTCTGCTACTTCCCTTTTGTATTTGAATTATACAACTCTAGTATCTGGCTGGTAGGCGTCCGCAATGGCTAATTTCGGCTAGTAGTTGTGGTTGCTTCATTGAGGGAGAGTTCTAATTATCCTTTCTATCTTATCTTGAATACTTCCATTCATTGCTCACACTCTTTACCCCTTAATTTCTTTTAACCTTCTTAGTACATGGTGGTTGTTGGAGAAATTGCGATTGCTAATAGTTGTTTGTATTGATTGTACTCGTATTTGTGTAGTTCCTTATTCCTTGATCTAGCACATTCGGCCTTGTTAGATTTTAGGAGACTAGGACAATGGAGAAAAGCAGTCACTCTATAGTCTGATGTCCTTCTCCTGGTTCTTTTCAAGATGATATAGTTCGTATTACATTCGTATGAACTTATGATATTGAAGCCGAACAATTTCTTTTCCTTTGCAAGGTATGCATGCTGGGTTACCTAAATATGTGCCAGTGAATCTGAAAGACATTGAAGCGGCAGGATTTCAGGAAGGGGAAGAGGTCTCTTTGGAAAGTTTGAAGGAGAAGGGTTTGATCAACCCATCAGGAAGAGAAAGGAAACTCCCATTGAAGGTACTAATGTCACGAGTATCTTCATTGTGAAGATTACATATCAAAATTGACATGCTGCTCTTTCCTGCTCCAAGAAGTGAAACCAAAACTGAATGATTTAAACAGATGTTTCTTAACTCATCAAGATTTTGGTATCTGATTCTTACTGTCTTAACTTCGTCTTTCCTTCAGATTTTAGCTGATGGAGAGCTAAGTGTGAAGCTAAATATCAAAGCTCGGGCGTTTTCATCAGCAGCAAAAGAGAAGCTTGAAGCCGTTGGCTGTTCCCTTACTGTATTACCTGGACGAAAGAAGTGGGTTAAGCCATCAGTGGCTAAGAACCTCGCACGGGCTGATGAATACTTCGCAAAGAAAAGGGCTGCAGCAGCTGCTGCAGAACAAGCTGACTGACTCCAAAATTGCGGTTGGTGACAAATTCCAGGTTAAATCTCCTCCTCAGTAATTTTGGGCCTTAGCTAATTTGTGGGCATTAAGTCCAATTTCACATAGTTGTCTGATTGTATTGATGATTGATTTTCAAGTGCAAAATTTTCTCTCTGAAGATGTTGACGCTCTCTTTTACTTATATTAAATTACCATAACAATTAAAAAAATAACGCGTGGAATCCGAGTTGACTAGGGAGAAGAAGAGAACATCAAGAAGGGATGATTCAGTTAATTTAGTCGTTGCCATCATTCTCAATCATGTCATCCACTTCGGTAAAAGCCTAGGACCCATTAAATTATTTCCGCTTATCTGAATTAACATCATCCATATCAGTTTGTACATATCCGTTTCTCTGAACTGTTGAACTTTTAAGTTGATTATAAGTCAAGCACGGAATTTGAGTAGAGCGATGGGGATAGCAATAGTCAAATTTGAAATCTTAGGTGAGTTTGATGACTGTTTGCTTCAATAAGTAATGTGCAGTGTTGTTTTGGATGCAAGGCATGTGGTTTATTAATCACATATTGGTTGATGACTCATTTCCTCCCATTCAATAATGCCCATTTGCGTCTAGAGAGTTTGAAAGTGACAACTGATCCAAAAGCTGCATAGCTCATGGTGTTGCCCTTTCTAGTTTTCTCCATTATTCTATCAAATTTGGATTTTCTTTCCATGTCTTTTACTCTCTCTCGCTCAAGCTTTGGTTTGAATTTTGATGTAAAGGCCAATACCCAGGAGCCAAAAATGATGATCTTTCCAAACAAGCAGAGTTTATATTAAACGGAAAAGCAAGTTCAAAACTGTCTTCCAAAACCCACAGAAATCCTTAGGCTATACCTTATATGGTAGTGGGAAAGCCTTTTCTACATGCCTTTATAGGGAAATTGTAGTTTATTAATGTTGAAGATCGTATATTGCTGATATGGAAATATAGATCAAGTTTTACCCGCTTTATTTATTATATTATTTTTTTAATTATAAATTTTTTTGAGATGGATTAAATTTTAAGCTTAGTTTGGATCATAACTCAATAGTTGATAAAAATATCAATTATTATTCGAAAATTTGATAGTTCTTTGGGTTCAGAATTATTGGGAGTGAGTCCCACATGGGTTAATTTAGTAGAAGATCATGACTTTATAAGTGAAGAATACTATATCCATTGGTATGAGGCCTCTTCGGAAGCCCAAAGCAAAGTCACGAGAGCAATATAAATGTAGAGAGTTGTGATTCCTAACCCTCTATCCTATGGTCAGCTGTTTACTTTTTCTCCTAATTATTCTTTACACTAATTTTTGAATCTAAAATATTTTAATAAAATCCCAAAAGGTGTTTACCAACACCTCTTAAAGAGCCGATTGTAGAACATTGGTGGCCGAAGTTGAGCATAAATTTTGGACAAGATTTTTTGTTTGCATCATTACATTTGCAATTGAGATGGTCAATTTGATATTTTTCATTTTATTATTATTATTATTATTATTATTATTATTATTATTATATTTTGATTTTGGGAGTGTGAATATTTGACTTAATGTAGAAACGTTTTTGCGTAACAATCCTTCCTTACTTTGATGTCATCAATATATTTATATTAACTAAATGTAATAATCTTTCATTCTTAGATATCTAAATCTCTGGGTAATCAAACAATCTTGACTTATATGCTATTAATCAAAAATCAAAATAATTATAATTCTTTTAAATAATATTAATTAAATAATTATTTTTGGTCGCCCAACCAATGATTACGAAATCGTACCTCAATAAAACTCAAACGCGTAGTTGAAGAATATAGATATCTTATTAAATATCTCTTATTTTTGTACGTATGATTTGACTGTATTGAGAATTTCTTTGACACGTGTTAATAATAATTAAACCAATCAATAATAACAATTCAGTCTATCGGAATCATTGATAAAAACTTGTCAACATTTAAAATTTTGTAGAGATCATAATATTTGGACCAATCAATAACAACAACGGGCGTATCCGAGAGTATTAGGGTAAGCAACATAGAACATAAACAATAATTTTATAGAACATAAACAATAATTTTGTTATATCATATTATTGTTGTTTAATCTCATCCACAAGTCGTTTCCAGGTAACAAAGTGATGTCCATAAATAATACAGTTACTAGTTCGCTCAATTTGCTGCATAGAAAAGCGTGCAAACACGTGACGACTTCATTGAGTTGAATCAGATCTACCGACTAACCTCATGCGTAGCGACACGTGTAA